ACCAGGGGTCAGTCACGATGTCTGGAGCGGAGATGGTAGAGAGAGTTGAAAGCATCGAAAGAGGAAGACGCACGACCCAGTACATAAGAGGAGTACTATCAAGCGGAGCGTCCATCAAACATTCTACCAGTGGACACCGGCGGACCTCTTGTTCGAGGCTCGGGCAGGTAGAAGTTGGTGCGATTACCCGGACGTCGACCACCGTTAGGTGACTCGCTCCCTCTGAATCAATCGACACCGACTATCTCGACACGACTGCCCGAACGAACCAACGGTGAGGTTTGTATCACAACTGGCTGGCTCAGGACAGGGGGGGCGCGCATCGTGCAGTCACGACCACCGGGCCGTAGAAGGCGTACAATCGATTCCCTACGAAACGCAAATCCAACCATTGCACTCTTGACCCTCTTGAGGGATGTCACTTTTTGATTATGGCGTAAACGTGTTCCACGTCTTGGGGGATAAAAACAGGCTCCAAAGGTAGCCCCCTTCGAAGAATTTTTATTCTAAAGGGGACCTTTCGTTTTGGGCCGCGTAAGTATGACGACATGGTACAAATTCCGTTCCCAGTGCAAATTTAGCACCGACTAACTGCGTGCCCCAGGTCTTTAGGTATCTGTCATCTCTTTCTTTGTGTCCAGCTTTCTGGAGGCTAGAGCCGGGGCATGTCCGTAAGCCCGATCCAGATCGTAGGCGCGGATTTAATAGTTCCACTTTCAGTAGTATTTTTTTTTCCGAACCGCATCATATCCTGCGGCTCGGTCGGAGGGTTTGGGTCTGAAACTCTTTCTAAAATTGCCGCTATAAAAAAACCAATTAGCGGCTGATTCTCAGAGTGCAATTTGGCGTCGGCAATTGCGGCTATGCCGGAGTGGTGATTAAATATGTATTTAGGTTATATAACGTGGAAGGGATTGACTAAGTCTGTGTTTAGTTATAACGTGAAGAACGAAAGGGATAACGTTGACTACGTATCACACGGCAGTCTAACATGTATAGGGATAACAACCAGGTATGGATTAAATGTGGTATTTACGTCTAGGGATAAATTTGGAAGAGCCTAACGTGGTTTGAATTGCGGGACGTTAACAACGACAACTACCTCGGCGTTACAGTACACCTCATCGATGCTAGCTGGGAACTTCACTCCTTCGCTTTAGGTATGCTACGTTATGTCATTTTAAATTACATAATTTAATTTCGTAGCCTTTTAATTACCACCACGTTATGTTTGCTTCTTGATAATTGCTAGTTGTTTACTACTAGTAGTGAAATTATTCTAATTTACTTTGTCTGTCCGTTAGGTGTGATGAAAACAGAGGAGCGTCACTTTGCAGAAGCGTGTGCAAGGCAGTTCCTCGACGTCGCTAATCAGTGGGGGATAACTGACAAAATAAGCACTATTGGAACAGATAGCGCTCCTAATATGGTGGCAGCAGGGAGGATACTTCCATTCGAGCACTTGCCCTGTGTTGCGCATGTTGTACAGAGAGCTATTGTAATGTCACTTCGGGAAGGTGGTTTTGATGGTGCACTGGCCAAGTGCCGTAAAGTGGTCGGACATTTCAAACACAGTCCGGCCAACTCAGACGAGCTAAATGTCCAACAATCCTCCCTTGGACAAGTTAAGGAGTCACTCGTGCAAGATGTTCCAACACGTTGGAATTCCACTCTTGAGATGATAAAGCGCGTGAGGTGCAACAGAGACGCACTGCACACAACGCTGTCGCTGCAGAAGCACAACCTGGCCCTCCCAACAAATGCGGATTATGAGAAGTTGGCAAAGCTAGAGAAACTGCTGGAGCCACGCAGGTATGGTCTACAAAGATAGTGTGTTCATGAATTGGCATACAAGTTTTTAAATGTCACTTTGTATGTAAGAAACACCTGCCCTTAAATGTGTAATCTGAGTTAAATTAATCTGTCACTAATAATTTTTTGCTTTGTCTGTCTGTCTGTCTGTCTGTCTGTCTGTCTGTCTGTAGGTACATCACTGAGCTCCTTGGTGGAGATAAGTATGTATCCTGCTCTGTGGTTCTACCTGCCCTGTGCCACCTCCAGCACGCGATGAACATCTCAGATGATGATCCTGCCTATATTGTGCGATTCAAGGCTGCCTTCATCAAGGACCTCAACCAGCGGAGGGAGAAAATAAACCTGGAATGGCTTAAGGTATGTCAGAGTGACCAGAAGATAACTACATTGTATGACCATAATAGACTGTAAAGCCAGATGAATAAGTCATGAAGAAATATGGAGGTTGGATTTGGAAAGTGACATTTTCATCAATCAATAATTATTATTTTTTATTCATCAAAGGTGGCGACTGCTCTAGATCCACGATTTAAGGACCTCAAGTGCTTGCCCAGAGCAGAGAGGTAGCCAGTGTGGGCAAAGCTAAGTGCGTTGATGAAGGGAGAAGAACCTGCTCTGCAGCCACTCAGGGAGGAGAACCCTGAGCCACCCAAGAAGAAAACAGCCCTGCTACTGATGGGATCCGACTCAGAATCAGATGAGGAGACACCAGAAGATAGTACAGTGGAGAGTTACAAGGTAGAGCCCAGTGCCAGTCTAGATCAGTGTCCACTGAAGTGGTGGTCGGAGCACACTGCTGTCTATGGTAAGATGGCCCAAATTGCCCGTAAATACTTGGGGACTCCTGCCACAACTGTCCCATGCGAGAGACTTTTTTCTTTAGCAGGCCATATTGTGCAGAAGAGGAGAGCTTGTTTGTCACCAGAAAATGTGAACAAACTGGTCTGCCTGAGTGACTGGTGGAAGAAGGAGAAATAGAGCTTTGACTGACACAAAGCTACTGACTGTAAACAGTTCATTACAACCTGTTATATAGGCCTACTGTTCAACTAAAAAGAAACAGTTAATAAACACAAGTACATCTAATTGTCATTGATTTATTTTCATCACCAATTATCATAGAACAGCTTTCTCAAGCAGTTTGTGATGCATTTTTGAAACTGGAGATGAGCCCCTGGTCTAATGCACCACCTGGCTTGAGAAACCCGTTCTAAGACTTACTTTTAGTCATTATTTGGGTAGCACACATATTCTGAATGCCTTCGGCAGAATTAAAATGAGCCATTTTAATCTAGATTAATCTAGATTAATTCCAAGAATACAGTGAGATTAATCTAGATTAAACAAATTAATCTATGCCCACCACTAGTTATTACTGTACATTTGCAGGTAGAAGCAATAGCATAGCTTCTACACTGTGACCTACCTCACTAACTGGTCAGTAATAAGCCCAATTATTTTGAATAAAAGGATGAGTTACTGGGAAACACGGCAAATCATTTCGAATTCAATAGACAAATTGTTTTGAGTGCAGTTTAAAGGAGTGAGTGTGCAATCAGTGAGGGCACTTAGCAAACTTTAAGATTACATCTACTGTTAACTCTAACAGCACGGCAAGGCCATTTTGTATATACAGGCTTCATTGGCCAATTTCAAAAACTGGCCCCTTGCCACACTTAGAGGAGATCCAGTTGGTAACTTTGAGATTGTGTCTGTTAATGCCTCACACCAAAGGGTTCAATTGGGCAGATAATATGTTCGGATTAGCAACCACTCATGACAGAAACACCCCTGTGATTGTTATGATGGGCTAATCTACTCCAAATTCTGTTCAATTATCTTCCTATAGAGAAGTGCAAAAGGCAATGGGATTTTATTATTGGATTTTGAAATATGGTTCTGTGGCTATCACACATTTATGATTCTTACACCTTTTTCAGATGGAAAAATCACATTTGAACTCCACTTTTATTATTTTTTAAGCGTAAATGCAAACAAACTACATCACGGTCACATGGCACCAAGCTAAAGGCAGCTAATGTTCGGTGCCATGACATATGGAAGTTTCATTTAGTAAATTTAGCAAGGCAATTTTTTAAAGACACACTGAAGCTTCGGACATTCATAAGGGGTATTTACTGACATATTTTATGAAAATCTCTTAAAATTGTTTTAACTATAAACCTAATACAGGCATCTACCCAAAATCACGTTTTAAACTATTCTTGGCATTGAGATTAGGTCAATTATTTAATCACCATCTAAAGTGACACAAGTTCTTTGTGTAACATTGGTTTTTAAACTGTTATGAACTCAGCTAATTCTCGCTGTCTCCAGGGTAGTGAAGCAGAAAGCCTGCAGAAACAGTGCCACTCTGCCATTGCAACTCAAACTGTGTTTGTTTTTGCCATACAAACTGTTGAAATTATCACTGGCAAAATACCTCCACTAATTTGATCCATGCCCCTCTTTATAAATGCAGTGATAATGGCAAAGCAAGGGACCTATAAGCCTTACAGCAATTAATACATCAGCTCAGTACAATTCACTTGTGTTTCTGACTGCGATAGTTGCCATATTTGGGTTTGTTTTATTACTGTGAACCATATATTATACCGGTGTTTCTGAGTAGTTGTGAGTTGGTTGTGTGAAGTAACTACAATATATCATGCATGGCTCAGTACCATAGCTCAGGATTCAGAACCGCAGTGTTGAATGTGAAGTTGTTTCTAGAAGTGGTTTTTAAGAAATCTGCTTGCGGCGATATCACAGGAGAAGCATTTGGCCCGTTCCAAGACTATCTATTTTTTGGACCGGCTTCTGGGAAGTTACATATCAATCTCAAAGGCTTCCCAGTTTGACCACAAGAATAGATACAGTAAAAACGCCATTGCAAATGTGCACAGGTTCTCCAAACTAATCAATTTAATCACCATCTAAAGTGACACGAGTTATTTCTGTTGTGTAAGATTGTTTTTTAAACTGTTACAAACTGCATGACAGAAACTAAACTTATTCAAGTTACTTTAATGATATGCCACAGCTATTGTTGTATTTAGTGAAAAATCCCTGCCATGGTTAAATGTAAGCAACGTTGACTTTAGGTTTCTTGACTCTTTCCAACAATCAATGTGTTTTTTGTAGCCATGGCTACCACTGTTTTATACCCTTCACCAAGTAGTTTTGGAGCCGTAACCAACCAAACCTCGATCATAACAGTGTCAGAGCAGAAAATGGTCTCATAAAAAGATATTCTAGTACAAAGACCCCATTCGCTTTGTTTTGACAATATTTGTCAGTACTTTCGTAAACTGAGACAAGGTGAGTTTACGGAAATTAGAAAACATTTCAAAACTTGCATCAGACATCTATCTTGGTTGTTTCAAGTTTCACCACCCACACCCTAAGCTCTATCAGTAGGGTCTTACAGTCTTGTATCAGAGTTTTACTCTGCTAAGTCTAAAGTCAGAATAGGCGTTTTTTTTTGTCTATTGTTTTGATGGATTTCTGCCTGAGATGTTTGAGAACTGGTATGAAATATTAAAACTACAGTATAAATAATTGTTTTGCCTGCTCATTTGATACACTCACAGCCAAACCCTATGTTTACTGTTGATTTTTGGATGGTTATTGTATGTGTGGGAAAAACATAAAAGCGCACCAAACATCAAAATAATCCTGGATTTCATCGCCAGTAGATGTTTTCAACTGAATTTGCATTTGGATAGTTCCATCACATTTGTGTTTTTTTTTTTCATACAGCAAACACTTCCAAACTCAATCTTCTTCAAATAAATTACAATATCTAATGCTGATTTATTAAAAGAGATAAGCCCATTGCATACAAATCGTGTTCCTCCATTCATTTTCACGGCCAAACAGAAATATTAAATCTGCCTTTCACTGCCTTCTCCAATTAATTTTTTGTACACTAAACCAGGGTGATTTCATGTCTTTTGAGAACCAAAAAAACACTGATCCAGAAATATTATTATATGTTTTGTTGTTTAGAAGGCAACAGACGGTAAAATCGGTGCCCCATGTGCTGAAAAAATAAATAAATCACGTTTGAAGCTGTGTGAAACAGGCTTGCTTTGAAGCTCTGCGTTCTCAACCGTACCTCCGAGAGTGGCGGAGAGGAGGAGGTGGGTGCCATATTTCTTGATTAGACCCTCTGTAATGGTCTGGAGGGTGGGCCGCCTCCCCAGCTGGCGGATGGTGTGCATGAAGTCGGGGTCGAGGGGCAGAGCCAGGCCCCTGCTGCCACCCAAACCATCCCGCTTCTCCACCGCCAGGCTGTTGACCTTCCATCGACCGAACTCCCTGGGGACAGAGCAGCACAAACACACGCACACACGCACGCACGCACGCACGCACGCACACACACACACACACACACACACACTTTGAGACTGGAGACATTTGCTCTCTTGGTTTGGCCTTTAGTGATGCATAAGGCCCCAGGCGGCTGTTTAACAAGCTGTACGGAAAGCAAAGCATTAGGTGAATGTGTACTATATATAATACTGGACTGACCTTACACACATGCACATGAATCATTAACACACGATGAAGATGTAATGTAACCCTCGGGGAGCTCTATATGCCTCTGATTTCTGCAATTTATTTTCTATTTTTAATAATCAGGTTGTGGTTGGTTATTTAGCCATTGTTAGCTTTTAACTTGAACTATTCCCAATTGGAATAACTTCCATTAAATTGATTGGAACTGGATGTTAAAGTGTATTGTTGATTTTTAAGCTTAACAACTTTTTTTCAACAATGTATAGTACATTTTCTATTTGTTCTGCTAACACACTTAGCTTGACATTTCAACCAGTTAACCAGCACTTGATTTTTAATTAATTTTTTTATTCTGTTTTCTTGCTAGCCTATGACACGTTAGCACATTTCTGCATAATTTGACAATTTTCTCTGTTTGTATTTTGAAAAATGTGACTTATAGTATTTTCCTTTTTTTTTTATTACATTGTCTTTATTGTGGGCCTGAAATTGTAAATAAAGTTTTTATAATTTTCCTTCGTTCTGCATTCAAAAACTAAAACGGGAGATTGTTGTTGACTTCATGAGAACCCACACCCCCACCCACCGACCATCAACAGTGCTGCTGTGGAGCAGGTGAGCAGCACCAGATTCCTGGGGCTGAACATCACTGAGGACCTCTCCTGGAGGAACAACACCACGTCAATCACCAAGAAAGCCCAGCAAACTGAAGAGAGCAGGAGCCCCCACTCCCATCATGCACTCCTTCTACCGAAGCACCATCGAGAGCATCCTCAGCACCGCCTCCAACCGCAAGACCCTGCAGCGCATAGTGACCACAGCTGAGAGGATCATCGGTGCCTCACTCCCAACACTCCTGGACTCATTTAACACCCGCCTCACCCCCAAAGCACTCAGCACTGTGGGTGACCCCACCCATCCCTCCACCTGCCTCTTCACCCTCCTGCCTTCAGGGAGGAGATTCCACAGCCTGAGGTCGAGCTCAACCAGGCTAAAGAACTGTTTTTTCCACCATGCTGTCAGGAGCCTGAACTATCTCCCCTTCCTCCAGGCTCTCCCACCTACCCTCACTTTTATCTTCTCTACAAGCAGCTTCAACACTGATCACACTACCTGTAGATATTGCACAGTTCAATTTCACTCATTGTCATATAATAATCAGCTTTTTCTGTCTACCAGGCTTTTGTTTTTATTCTTATTTTTTATATTCGTCTGTATATACATATTTTAGTCTTTGGGACAGTGAGGAAACAGCATTTCTTCCTGTTTGTACAACACTCAGAGGTATTGACAATAAAGTTTACTTTGACTTTGAATATCGATGGAAGTTTCCTGAAATATAAACGGGAATAACAACAGTTTTGCAATAATTATTTAGCTTAGTTGCACCATATCTTCTCATCTATCTCTCGTACAGACTAATGAGTCTATTTTTTTAAATGTCAAAACATTTTAAATTACTGCTTTAGTTATTAAGACCACTCATGTTGAGGTGTTGTCAAATGTATCTGCGTAGCTACTCTGCAACATTTCCACGCACCCCACTTGTTGGGAATCTCTATCATCTGTCACTGTTGTCTGAACAAGCTTTTCACAGCTTTAAATAACTCCTGCACCCATAAAACACAATTTATTGACATGCAGCGCTGCGACTCCCGACTCCCACAGCAACAGAGAGGCGTCAAACCCAAAATAAAGTCACACATTATCAGCTGCCATCATTTGTTATCCTTTGCCCCCTGGACACAATTCTGCTGAACTCTAGCACTTCACAAGCCGTCTGGGAAATACCGCTGCTCTCTCTTTCTCTTTTTCTCTTCCTCCCTGCTTCCCTCTATGGCAGGGATGGGCAACTTGGATGGTGGTGGGAGCAACATAATTAATGTACTGGCCACCAGGGGGCCGCAGATTCACTTGGAACACACACACATACATTCCATGTATTGTATGTAATTATTAACAAATATACTAAGTCTGACATCTTCATGGACATTTTATAATCTTTCAGGGAATATCCTCTAATAAACTAAACAAATATCAGTTCACAGAAATGTTATTTAATTTTGGGGCATGTTTGTATTGAACATGAACAGGTAATTTAACAGTGGAATAAAACGATTTTAAACTATTGGAAAGCACGGAAAATGTGTGTGCATTGAGATTAACCATTAAGATGACATAAACATGAAGTCATGAACACTAACCCAGACATGAGTTGTCTAACTTGAACCGAAGACTGTAGCCTGCCTCTGCTGACGCACAATAAGGGGAATATCAATACAGAAACCTGTCAACCCGCACTCTGCTGTTCCTCAGCGCTGCTCCCCCTCCCTCCCGCTGAAATTATTAATGAAAAGCGTATAGTAATCATAGATAACACGACGGGGTCGGGTTTGGTTTCATCTGATTTCAAATAAACAAAGTCTTGGTTTTTAGAATATTAAAGGTGGGGTAGGTAATTTTGGAGAAACCAGCTCGAGTGCGCTAGAATTTGAAAATACACGGCCGGAAAAAATATTCCACTTCCTTACAGAGCCCCTTCTCTAACACACACGAACGCGCACATGACCAATGAGGGCACGAGATAAGTTTGTGCACAGATAGAAGGCTGACAGGCAGGTAGGCCATCCATTGGTCATGCTTTTTACAGTACTACGGCTTCCACAGATGAATTTTTTTAATGGATTTTTTGTCAAAGCACTTAAGATATTCATTGCTATCGGGATGTTAAGAGCATTCCATGGAATATAAAAAAAAGTGTATCTCGAGCTGGTTTTCAAACTTACCTACCCCACCTTTAAACTTGTTTTGCCAAATTCAGATGATAAATACAACTTTTTAAGCTTGTAAAGGCATAATTATAAGCGGTAACTTAACCTCACAGCAGGCATTTCCCCGGGAAACAAACGCGTCACAGATTATTTAGCGGTATTTGGCTGCCTAACTAAATCATGTAGGCTAACTAGGAGTCTAGTGGACGGTATCAGTACTACAAGTAAAACAAACAAGAATATATAATATATATTTTTTAAGTTAATTACGTTGTTTATAAATTCACCTGAGGGCCGCAAAAAGAGGCCGCCATTTGCCCATCCCTGCTCTATGGCATCACTCTTTCTCTTTCCCTCTCTCCTAACATAGCATCAGTCTACCTCTCCCACCATGCTGCCTAAGGCTCTGTGTACCTTTTCTCCTTCTGGGACGCAATCAAATCACTGCCTAGAGAAAAAGGATCGGCATTGAAATAATTGGGAACCGGGACAGTGTGGAGAGTGTCATTACAGCCAATCTTCACCATGAGGGGAAAGGCTGAGTGTACGTCTCTGGTAAAGAGACAAGCTTTTTGGCCCAGCGTTGAGCCTGAAGCTACTGCATCAGCATGCACATAAGGAGCGATGCTTACTGCAGGAACGTACAGTATAGGCTTTTTACAGGCTTAATGTATGCTGTAATCAATCAATAGTGATGAAAAAACAATTCCTAGGAGGGAAAACATTATGCAAGGAGCCTTGAGGAGTGAATTGACATCTTAATCACTTAATGCTTCATGACTGACAGCAATGTGATGCTAATGGTGATGGTTCAGTTATTACAGAGGTCAGAGACGGGCATAATAGCAGTTTAGCCTCCAGGCTATTTTTGAGCACATATAAAATACTGAGCATCTACAACCCTGTAGGGACTGGTCAAAATATTTATGATTTATTATAAGAATAAATGCCTTCTGTTTTCCCACAATGTATCAGTAAAAAAACAGATAGCATCTCTGCAAGAGGCCCATAAAGGGGAATTAACTGTCAGTTATCTTGTTACAGCAGTTTTCTAAAACCGAAATTGAGTCTCATATTGAGGTCGTTTTTAAAATCCTTAATCCTTAATCCTAAAAACAGCTTTTGGGTTAGAAATGCCGGCAGGAATTTGACAGGGTGCAGGATCGACTGCTCGGGGATGGAACACCCGTGAGCAGTGAGACGTCAGCGAGCCGATACAGAGGGCCTTCCTTCAGCCCAATCTCTCCGCTGCTAGGTCACTGTCAATGATTTCCCCTAACTACTGTATGTAAGGGTGTTGGAAAAGAAGAAGCCTCATGTCAGGGGGCATTTTGGATATTTGTGCAGCAGCTTTATTGGAAAAAATGCAACTGACTTCGAGATAAACACCACAGCCTGAAAGATTCCTGAGAGAAGATAACGGCTGATTTATGCACCTACAGATATAGCAGACTATAACGTTTCTTCTTCAGAAGAAAGTTTGGCAAAGAGACTTTGATAAGTCACCTAAAATATAATGAAAACTGAACCAACTTAATACCATCTTTCTATGGGACCACTCCAGCTACGATGCCAAATTGGGCAAGGGGCATAAAAGTGGGCCACCAAATGGTCCCTTTGCAACCCCTTACTTCTGGTGCCTTTCCTCTGACCTCACCTGTCTTCAATCTCAGTCTTCATTTGATGACTATATATATCTGTAAAGATCTGTAAAACTAAATTGATCTGGGGGTCAAAAAGTCGAGGGACCAGAGCCACCCTCGACCCATTGTTCGCATCACGACCATTTTCGAACTCATACCCTGTTTCATGACTGCATTTTGCATGGTTGCAACGCTGTCTATGTAACAACATTTGTCCACTGACACATGGGCAGAAATATAACACCTGACAAAGTAATGAAAACTTCCTTTATGGTTGTTCTAGCTACAGTAGGTCTCCAGACACACATCACTCTATGATGACACACACAAGACTCTCAGGGTGAAAACAATACAAGTGTCATGGCTGGTAATAAACTCAAGAACA